TTATTTTTTTCTCCCTGCTTTCTTAAATTTGTTATTTTTCTAATTTCTTGAGTTTGATAAGAACTCATTTAATTTTATTTTTCCTTGTTAGTAAAGAAGCTCCTAAAGCTAAGAATTTGTCCCTAACTGCTGCTTTGGATGCATATGATGTGTAGGGTTTCTCGTTTTCACTATTTTCAAAAGGGTCTATACTGAAAGTTAGGTTTATCTCCTGATCCATGCAAGTAATTTATTTTGTTATAAAATTTCAGTTTTGTTGCACTGTAAGAGAAGGTGGTCTTTACAAATCTCAGTCTGGGTAAACTATGGAGCTTTATTTTGCAACTCAAATATGCTCAATTTTTTTAATTTCATGAGTACTTTAAAGTGTTTAGTCTCTATTATATATACATATTAAACTAATCTTATTAAGTATATCTTGTACATCTATGTCCTTTTTATTTTGGTCTTTTTTGAAGTGGCATATTCAACTCCATCAATATTATAATGTTTCTGTCAAATCAGCATTCTTTTCAGCAGCCATTTCCACATATTTTTACTTTTTGTTAAACAGAACATGAAAAGTTCATAAAATATCTTCATTGTGATTTATATGCATTATTGATAGACTTGACCACTTTGAATATGAAGAGGTGTCATTAAAATAAGTGATGAGTGAGATTATTCTTTAAATATGCCAGGACAACTGATAAACTGGGAAAAAACTAAAGTTTAATTCAAGTCCCCATATGAGAATAAATTCTATATGGATTAAAACATTAAATGTAAATCATGAAATTAGAAAAAAATATGGATGCATATTTGTCTCCTGCAATATGAGAAAAATTTGTAAAAACATACTAGGCATATAAACATAAATATAAAATAGATATTACTATCAAAGGAGAAATCAAGATATTATATCTGCACCTCTTCCTATATTTCCTGACTTGGTAAAGAGCACCCAAAACATCTGCTCAGCCTCGAAAGTTAAAGTTATCACCTTTGTTTTGAACTCAGTTATACTGCTCAATCCTCAACTTCAAGTCTTTTACCATACCACTGTTCAGTGCTTCTAAGCCACTCCATCTTTCTCTTCCAAAATATCTATTCTTAGAATAGACTTCCACAGTCAGCCCTTCAAATTTCCCTGCACACTGAAAGTGTCTTCTGATTTTCTTTGTTATCAAGAATGTTATTAAAGCTTCTAAACATCCAATTTTGGCTGTAGTTTGTTGTTTATTCATTTGTTTAATGTAATGGAACGCTCTAATTCTGACCAGTTCTCTTATTACCATGGCCTGTTTCATTTAATGGAAAGAATTTCCTCTTTTATCCTTTGAAAAAAATGAAGCACATGTATTCCAAGATTTTTGTTCTAATAAATGAAGTGCCTATTTTAGGAAGAATATGTTTTTAAGGGGATGCTGCTCTTTTGCTGCTAATTTTTAAAATAGATCTTATGTTACTGATGTTTACTTTTATTAAAACAGAAAGGATAAATCTATGCCCAGTAGAGAAAAGGCCACTTGTCAGTTGTTAGGAAAAAAGATGGATTCATTTGACATCTCTCATAACTGGCATGAGTTACTATGATTTTCTTTGGGAGCAAAGAGAATGATTCAGGCTTCAAGAATGAGAGGGACAGCTCTAAGGTTTACTACTTCTATGTGAAGAATTCCCCCTTCACATGTACAAATAGAAACCCCAAGAAATGGCTCTGTTCCTTACTATAAAAGAATCAGAAACACATAGTAAATGACCAAAATTAGACCCAAAACTCTATGTGAGAGAGAGCTAATGGATCAGAGATAGTATTATCTATCCTGACCCAATAGCAAAAGACCTCCTAATGTATTTCCTGCTGGAAATCTGAACATGTTCTACTCTCATTTCTTAGTTCAGTTGTATAAACATTTTTACGTTTAGTTATTTATTTGTACCCACAGACATAAATCTTCACTATCTCCTGGTATTTGTTTTAACTGCATATACCCCACCCTCTTTTTTGTCTACCTTACGTATCTTAAAGTGACAATGCCACTCATTTATTAAAGTTGTTAACATGTATAAAACTTATATTACAAGTACCTTTTCAAGAAGTCATGGACAGGAATTGTTATCTCCACCACAAGGTGAAACTTTTCATCATTCATGCATTTTAGCATAACTTGTGTAAAGAATTCCAGGAATCTAGGTCTGTGCTTAAATTTCATAACTGTAAAAACAAATTCATGTATAGTTACCAATATACTTAGTTATTGGCATTGAAAGATTACTAGTGTTAACAGTCATTTTGTTCCAATAGGCAAGTCTATTAATCTTCTTTTTAGATCTCTTGCTTCTAAAAAATATATAGAAGTAAATGTGGTATGAACTATTGTTTTTCTAACATCAACTAATCTTTTGCAGTCTATATTTCATTTATTTTCTAAATATCTCAGTGTTATGAAACATTTCATTAAAGTTGTTTCTAATGTCTGATTAATTGGAGAAAAGTTCTGATAATTACTGTAACTAGCAATCTTAATTTTTATTATATTTCACTCTGAGTTAGGCAATAATGTTCCTATTTCTTCATAGCTAAACTTAAAAGTCCCTACTGCTTTTTTCAATGCCCTAGTTTTTGTAAGCTTCCTAGTAACACCATTCGCTACCAAACCAAGCCACCATCAAGGTTCTGTCTTTCCAGACTTTAAATCAGGTACTTGTGTCGTTCTCTTTCGTTACTTGGCAATCAAGATTCTGCATTATTCCGAATGGATAAGAACGCACAATATTCTGCGTAGAACAGGTAAAATCTTTAAGTAGACAACAGAAACAAAATCCACAGAATCGTGTACACATTCAGGTCACCTACCTTCTTTCATGGCATTTTTGACTGACCAATTTAAAACTACAGGGTAAAGAAATATAGGGTCTTCTGCTCCTGAGAGTTCACCTACAACATCTAAGTTTAAAAAAATTAAGAAGTTAATGTTCTATTTAACAAGAATAACCAGCAATAAAAATTCTTAGAAGGGATAAAAAATAGGAAAGTACTCAAGTATTCATTCTAAATTGTGTACCTTGATATATCAATTATAAAATTACATTTTGCAGATAAAAAGAAGCCAATCGTTTAAATTATTTCCTTTAATTTTTTTCCCCTAAAAGCTAAGGGATCTACCACCAAATAGGTGAAGAGTTTCCAAGGCATGATTCTCTCTCATTCAACAACTGTCATACATCAGCACACCCAAGACTCAGAAACCTACCAATTATATTAACTCCATTTTAATAAAATTGCCTTAAAAGGCAGTAAAGTATAGCACAGTCACCGGAGCCAGACTTGCTAGGTTCAAATTCTAACCTTGACACATTTTAGTTATGAGACCTTGGCAAGTTATTTAGCTTCTCCATGCCTCAATTTCCTTATCTTTAAAATGGGGATAATAATAATAATACCTCCCTTATATGGTTGTTATGTACAGGTTCTATGAGTTTTAGTGTGTACAAAACACTTAAAATAGTACCTGGCATACAGAAAACACTGTACAAAACCGTTATTTTTATTATTGTTATTGTTGAATTTACTGTTTAGCTAGTAATATTGCATTGTGCTTCTTAGTAATATGTTTTTATCAATACTGTAAAAATAAGTAATTCACATTTCTAGAACACTTTATATTTTAAGGAATTATACTTTTTATATGTAAAAAGACAATTACCACTTTCCCAAAACTAGGTTTACTGATTATGGGAATAATAGAATATTGGGTTCCATTCATAAATTCAGCTTAAAACAGACAGGGAACACACTGAAAAAGAGAGAGCTCCAAGTCAGGAAATCCTGAAACAGTTTGACCACCAAGATATAACTGAAGCACATAGCAAAAGAGGTAAAGTGGGGACAGGAATTCTAGTGTAGTCAGGTCCCAAAAGACCAGGGGGCCAAAAGTGGAGCCTCATACATGGTTTGTGGCTCAAATTTAGGTATTCTCTTGTTCTTCTAGAAGATTTGAACTATCTGCTTTTTTAAAAACGTGACAATACTAATCATCATCAGAAACTAAATCAATGTCCCAAGGAGCTTGCCAAGCTGCAAACTCCAAAATACCAATCATTGTATTAACACATTGGTCCATTATGAAACTGCTACAGTACAATGACCTAAACCTAATCTTTCATTCTACTCTCTACTCTAGAAGGCCATGGTTCAAACCACTTACACATTAACACCCTTTACACTATCCCTTTATTTCTCAGTTACTGCCTTTAGAGCAGTGATTCTCAATTTTGTGCTACCCCTAAACCCCACCAAAGATCCATTTGTTAACATCTGCCTCCCAGTTGACTGCCACAACTGGGAGGGTGGCATGCTATGCTTCCATGGATAGAAGCCAGGGATGCTGCTCAACATCCTACAGCGCCAAGGACAGTCCCCACAACAAAGAACTATTTGGCCCAAAATGACAGTAGTGTCGAGGTTGAGAAAACTTGCTTTAGATTTAAAAGACGCAGGCTCAAGTCCAAGGCAGCTATGTAATCCTGAGTAAATCACTTAATCTTTACGAGCCACATCTGTAAAGAGCGGTTAGCAATCCCTTATTAACAGGCTATTGTTAGGATTAATGACATAATGTAAAAGCACTGTGTAAACCTTAAAAGGTTTACCAAATGCTAATCTTATCTTAATCCTTTGAACAAAATATTTTCTCATTTTTAAAAATATAATGCTAAACAGAAAAAAGTATACAGGAAAAAAAATGATCACATTGCTTTGTCAGTTTGAGTAGGTGTGTTTCCAACAACGTCAGCTGTTCATTTATTTTTTCAGGCAACAGTATCTGCTGTGGCTTCTTAGTCTTTGAAGACTTCTTAGACGAACCCTAAAAACATTGGTTAAATGTCAGAATGTACTTCAACACATTGCAATAACTGTCATTTTCAAACAACATTCTTTAAATTATGTTTTCGTACTTTCATACTTGGTAGATAAAACTATGATCTACATGGCTAAACAATACTAATTAATAACTAATAATAACAGTTATTATCTTATAACAAAATGCCAGGCACATTACTAAGTATTTCGGGGAGATTAACCAAAATACTGCTGCTTTTCCCTCTCCCTTTCTCCCAGTAACTTCCGCCCTCTATCCAGCCCCCTCCAACACCTGTATTCTTAAAGCAGCTGAGGAGATGGCTCTAAAAATCTTCAAAAGAAAATTCCCAGCCTGCCCTCAGAAATGTATCCCTTTATTCTTTTTTTCCTTTCTTTTCCCAGAAGGAGCTTCTTTACAACTGAGCTAATTGCCTTTGCTACTTTGCCTTTCATCAAAACCTAACGGGATCAGTAATTAGTGGATTAGGAATCGGCCTGTCTGCACTCAGGCTTCCCAGGATGTTTTCTCCGTCTGGGCCTGAGAAGCCGCCCATCAATGTCTCTTGCTCTCCCAAAAAAAAAAAAAAAAAACCTTTCATGCCCCTTTAGGCTTTAAGGGATCTTGAGTGGCTCTAATGACTTCTGCCTCCTATAAATTAACAATGGCTACAATATTAGTCAGAGGTAAGTATCACAGCCTTCTGCTCAACTAGCAGCTTCAAGGAGAGAGGCACGAGGCACTATCCTATGACAATGTGCAGAGACAGGGTCCCAGGCCAGGGCCGGGGTAACATAAAGGGGCTGGCTGGTGGACCTGAGAGGAAACACTTAATGGGAAAAACCCTCAAATTGCCTCCAGCTTAATCAAAACTCTCTCTAGACAAACAACCCCACCCTGCCCCCTCCAAAAGAGGATTATGGCAAAAAAAAAAGTCATTCGGTAAGGCAGGGTGATGTTTTTTGAAAGTGTTTTGTTTTGTTTTGTTTGACAAACAAATGCTTACTTGGAAATTCAACCTGTAATGGAGACAGAAATGGAGCTACTCTACCTGAGACAAGCTGCGGGGCAAGAGTCTCTGCCCCCGTCCAAGCCACTGAAAGGGCTTCAGGTAATTCATAGTGCACGTCAGAAACCCAATAAACTAACATTTCAGAATTCGATCTACAAAAACAGTTAACCGTATAGTTTCAAGGAAAGGCAGTAAAGCATAAGCTCTTGTAGGACCCATGGTTAGAAGGCAGATATTAAAATTTAGTCTCAAAAATTAGCAGTCATAAAGAAGACATTTGAGGTGTCACAGTGAGTTTCAGAAATTTGCTTTGAACACAAGGTAAAAAGCTCTGATGTGTATTTACTACATTTGATGATCCAGAACAATAAAATCTTAGATTTGGAAGAGACTTTGGAGGGCTTTTAGTCCAATGTCCAATCAGGCATAGGAAGCTCACCATCATTGCCTAACTGATGGTCAAAACTGGTGATAAGGACTATTTAGTAGGTTAGCACAGATTCCTTTTTCATTTTCCTGACCATAACTCAAAAAAAAAAACTTCACTATATTATTATATATTACTTCTATGACAAATTAAAAACTGATTAATTTTCATATATGTTTAATAATACTACATGATTCCTGAAAGATCCAACATATATATTTATATGTTTAAAAGCGAGAAACAAAAAGCAATTACCTCCTCTGGAATTTCTTCTTGTTCATCATTACTAAATAGAGATTTGCACGCTGGTGTGATGTCCAACATTTTTTTCCCATAATTTATAATCATTACTGCCAGGTCATACTCCTTCCATGAACGCAGAATCTAATTTTAAAAATTTATTAATTAACTCTGTTGGATACTCTTGTCTATTTTCAAGAATAATGCATCATTTTTCATAAATTTAAAAGCTTCATAATGTTTTGGGTCTAAGAAATCCCCGGTTTTTGTTAAGTAAGCTGCAAATTTATCTACAGATCATATTTAATGCATTTAATATGATTAAAAATGCATGATTTCACTAGTTAACAACTAATAACAGGATCTCACCAATGTTAAAAGAAAAACTTTAGAAAAATTTAATGTAACAGAGTTTGAGCAAAAAATGATTCACGCATCAAGCAGCCCCCCTACTTTACCCCAAAGCAGAATAGCTTCAGAGAGACTCTGTTGGAGGATTTATGAACAAAAAGGAAAGTGACATACAGAAAACGGAAGTGAGGCACAGAAACAGCCAGATTGGTTATAGGTCAACATTTGTCTTATTTGAATATGGTTTGAACAGTTGGCTGCCTTTGATTACCTGAAACTTGGTGATTGTACAAGAGTAGGTTACAATCTGTTTATATAATACACCCAGTCAGGCTACAGTTCACTCTGTACAGAGAAACCTTTCGGCCAGACTTAAAATATGTAAGGAGGCAGCTTTAGGCTAAACTTACTTTAATGCCAATAATGAATTCTTCATACCTCCAGGCCATATAGCTGGATAACTTTCAGTATAGCAAGTTGACTATTAAGAAAATATTTCCATTAAAAAAATCTATATTAAAACAAAGTCATCCTTAAAGGCCACATAAACATTACCTCTTATCTTGAGTTACTTTCTATGGGAAATGGCACAATTATTAACCTCATGATGTCTTGGAGGGGCATTTATATCAGCAAATGATTTACAAGACATTCTGGTAGAGGACTGGACTAGGAATGAACTGTTTTTGGCAGATTCTCCATGAGCGCTAGGGGAGGCATCCACTGTAGTCAAAAGGAGGAAAGGGCCCCTCTTTTACATTGCCTATCCCCAATTCTCTGGCCTTCTTTAGACTGGCCCTTACCTACCTTTCTAGAGTAATCTTCTACCACTCATCTCCTTATACTTTAATCTCACAAAATATTGAGCCAAGTGTAAAATCTGACAATCATCACTGAGGACTGAACTCTGACCTTTTTCTTTTCCCCAAATTCGTTTCTAAGAGGACTGGTGAGTCACATCTACAAACAATAAAATCTCACTAAGCAGGTTTTATTAGCTCAATATAATGTGGTTTACTTTTCAACCTGGTTCCGGTATAGCATCACATGAGAGATAAAAGACCCCCTTATCTTAACTCAGTCATCCAAGCAGACCCCTATCTTAACTCAAACATCCATTCCACTGATTCCAGATCTTTAGACAAAGCTTAACTCTTTCAATCAATTGTCAACTAAAGAATCCCTAAAACCCACCTATGACTTATAAACTCATACTTCGAGATGTCCCACCTTTTTGGGCCAAACCAATGTATAACTTCCATGTATTGATTTAAAATTTTAACCTGTAATTCCTGTTCCTATGAATGTATTAATACAAAACCAAACTGTAATCTGATCGCTTTGGGTACATTTTCTCAAGACCTCTTGAGAACTTGTCCGCCAGGCCAAGGTCACACATATTCAGCTCAGAATAAACCTCTTTAAATTATTTTACAGTTTGCATTTTTCCATCTAAACCATTGTGTTTCAGGACTTCATGTCTTCCCACAGCTGATCCATTTCCCAGAACAGCTTTCCCCACCTTATTTACACAGCTTCACCTTGTGGTTAAAACCTTGGCTCTAGCATCAACCCCAGGAAAGTCAGCAATCTGATTCACTTATACCCTACTGCAGGCCAGGGTCAAAGGAATGGGACACATTCATGGTGAGCCCCTTAGGGCAACTAAGAGTGTAAATAAGTTTGTATGAATTTGCTATATGTAGATATATTCTGTTGAATAGGTTAGTATTTAAGGTAAATAACAACTGTTTCTTCTTATGCAGGAAAGGGATATATAAAATGGCTGAAAAATAAAGAGCGGCTACTTAGACTTGATAAGCCTTACCTAATCCTAAGAACAGGAAATGTTTCTATGGGACCAGAGCAATGGTGCTAATGCTGACTGTGGAACAGAGTGTAGGAAGGAAAATGGTGAAATAAATTTTGAGTAAGTAGACAGGGTTAGGTCATGCAGGGCCTTAAATGCCCAACTAAAACAGTCCAATCTCATCATAAAATTTATATCAGAGGGGAAAATTTTATTAGAAAACAGAAATGAGCTAATGTTTGCTCTCCACTGTACTTAATTTTGCTTTCTGGCATATTTAGAGAACTTATAGAGAACTGTGCGATCATTTTCCCTCATTTTAATATGCTAGTACAAAACAATAAATGATAAAGAATTTTTTCCAGTCAAAAGAAAAATAAAGGACAAATTCTATTTAACATACCAAATGATGAATAGAAATAAAAAGAGTACGCCAGATGTTTAGCATAACAATTTTAAAACCATGCAAAAGTAATGACAGATTTAAGATGAGGGATCTCAGAAGCAGCACTTTAGAAGAAAAAAAAACACTGCTGCTTAAAGAAGGAAGATTCGACCACCTGAAAAGATCACCAGTTTTTAAACAGAACAAAGAAACAGAGCCGTTTCACTAATTGGGCTTTACATGTCCTAAGAGAAAATCCAATATTGTTTATATCAAATGAACACCTGAAATTGGGGATTCAGGATTAGTCCAGGATTCTGGGACTGGAGGCCAGGCTGGAAGACACTTCCCGAATGGCAATTCTCAACATATCAATTTTGGACAAAACCAACCCAAATATCAAATCAAAACCAAATATCAAAAATTAATTTTTTTAAAAGTTCAGAACACATTCAGGTCACTTCTACAGTATCATCACTTGGATTTTAATGATTCCTCCAGTGGGGGAAAGGGGAGTGGGCTCACGGCTGACAAGTCAGGAAAGGCACAAAGCCAGCCCCAAAGCCACTGTGTGCTAAGGGAAAACATTCGTCCACGGCTGAGAGAGGCAGCGTGTGAATTCAAGGACTTCAACCTCCACTGGGCCCCAAACACAGGCTGGTTACTCTAGGTCAGCAGCCCCTCCCATCTTCTACATTGGCTGGCCCAAACCCTCCCATTCTTCTCAAATATTTGAAACCCACCCTTATCCTTCACCTCCTCACTGTCGGCAAATGATCTTGCTTCCTTTCCACAGAGGAAATGCAGGGGAACTAGCTTATCCCCCATTCATGAACCTATCACCACACCTGTAACTACAACCACCCTGTCTTCCTTCAGAGGAGAGAAGTGAATCTCCCCTCCAGACTCACCCCTCCCACAAGTTCTGGGATCCCACTGCCTTCTGCCTCCAGGGACCTTGCTCTACTTCCCTCCTCTCCCCTCCCAAATTTCCCTTCTTTCCCTCTCCTGCCTCCCCCCCATCAATATTCAGATGTTTTGGAATACCAGAATAAGCAGGTTTGGGGTTTTATTGGTTTGTTTGTTTTTAGCAGAAGCTGTTATTGGCAAGTTGCCAACAGCAAGCTGCCTTGGAATAGAGTTTCTTTCTTAGTTCTGGAAGAAACACTGCAATAGTCTCTCCTGGTTATTTAAATGTAAAGTAAGTAGCTGTGTTCAGTGCCCTGAAAGGAAAGTGTACTTGGTCTTCCTTTATTTGAAAAAGACACCCTTCCCCTGGAAATATTCACTGATGGAAGAGTTTGGGGAGGAAAGGCCAACCAGATAAATATATTCTAAAGACACGTAACCTTGGAAGGTGCACTTTTGGCCCAGCATAACACTAATTAACGTGTGTAACACTAATTAACGTGGGAAAGAAAAGGGGTGCTTTGGACTGTGTGGGATCGCGGCTTTCAGTGGTTACACCTTGTGACGGTGACAGAACTAATAGTCACAGGAAGATCCTAAAGGTTGGGGAGGGGTTAGAAATGACAGAGGATTTTTGGATTAATCTGACCTTTTAGTTCTTCCTCCTGCCTAGTGTTCAGAAGCAAGATCAGCCCCTTGGACTAAGTGCACCCTTGAGATTCTTAGATAATTCTTAGATAAATCTACCCTTCTCACTAGACACACTGTTCCCAGGTGATACCACCTATTTTGTTTCAATTGTAGTCCATGTGCTAATGACTCCTTTGTCTTCACACATATTTGGCCTCTTCTGAGCTCCAGGCCCACAGGTCCAATTATGTAATGGCCACTTCTTTGGATAGATCTCAATGTTCAATCTGTTCAAAACTTACCTTCTCCCCTTTTACCACACAAAATTATTCCTCTTCCAGGGTTCAAAGAATAGTGATGTATTCGCCCAACTGCCCAGGCCTGATAGCTGTATATTACTGTTAACTCTTCTCTATTCCTCTTTTATCCCCTTTATGCAGTAGATTGCCAGGTTCTCAATTTTATCTCATAAATTACTCTCCAATCCTTTCAATTCTCTCTACCTCCCACTTTTACCACACTAGTTTAGTTTGTCATCCATCACCTTCTAACACATCCCCTGCCTCAGGTCTTATCACCCTCTAATTATTAGCTGTTGTGCAACCAGAATAATTTTTTTCCTAAACTACAAATCTTATTACATCGTTTCTACGTTTGAAAGCCCTCAGTGGTTCCTCCCTGACCTCAGAAGATGGCCATGTGTCACGTGATACCTGTTCATTGTTCCATCTTTTAAGGCAACTGAAATATTTAATTATATCCTGCATAATTCAAGATAAATTTGATTCTTCTTTTCTAAAACTGTAAAATTATTTCATATTTTCTCATTGATTACTCCCTGAGGTAATCAATGTTAATAATCCTGTATCTGTCATATATTTTTCCCAACCTAATATTTGCCTTTAAGTTTTGTTTATAGTGCCTTGCCATAAAAATGTTTTATTATATAATCTAATCATCTATCTTTGAATTTTGTGCCTTACTGAGGAAGGTGTCCCCTGATTCCAAGGCCATACAAATATCCTGAATCCATCTGGACTTTATTTTGTTTATGGTATGAGATAGGGCTCTGGCTTTGTTCACTTCCAGATGAATATAGTTAATTATACCAGCAATTTTCATTAAATAAGCTACTATAATACACTATAATTTTCTCAATGAATCAAATAACTTATCTTTGTCATACAGTAATTTCTTCTGCAGACTTGGGGCTATTCCTAGACCCTCTATTCTACTCCACTGAACTATGTCCCCCTTACTCTGTTAACATCATTTTTTACTGAAGTGGCCTTGTGACAAATTTTAATATCTATTGAGAACTCTTAACTTATTCTAATCAGTTCCAGAGAAACACTATTGGAATTCTGATTAGAACTGCATTAAATTTAAGTATTACTTTAGGAAGGATTTACATTCCTATGACAGTACGTCTTCCTATTCAGGACTTAGTGTGGCCTGCCACATGGTCAGATCTTATTTTCTGTCCCTTGGTAAGATGTCACAGTTCTTTTATTTAGGTTCTTTAACATTTTGTTAAGTTTAAGATATTTTATTTTATAAATGGTATATTTTACCCTCTCCATATCTAACTGATTACTACTAGTATAATAAAAAAATTATCAGTTTGTAGGTATCTTATACACAGTCACTTAATATATTCTCTTTATAATTCTAGTAATTTTTTCCTAGATTCTCATGGGTTTTTGAGACCTCCACAATTACAGATAAATTATGCAGGCAGTCACCAGGTTACAGAAGAGGTGTATGTTCCTGAGAATATCTTTAGGTCGGACTTGTATGTAACTCAGATCCCTGAAGAACAGCATATATATAGTAATAATAACAATACTATAATGGCTCACGTGATAATAATAATACTATATAATACTGTAATAAGAATAAGAATACTGTGTATTATTGTGTAATACTGAAATAATAAGTTACAGATACTATTGTGCTCTTTCTTTTAGTTCAAACAAACAGAACATAAAAACAAACTCATACAAAAACTTTATACAGGAGAAAGGAGAAATTTTTAAAAAGAATATTAAAGGTTAACACTCACTAATGTTGCATCAATGCTAAGCTAATAGAATGTTACACTTCTTTTGATCTTCTAACTAAATCAATAATAACCTTTCCATTTCAGTCATTAATCCACTACACTGCTTAGCAATAATTGATGCTTTCATTGGAGCACTACCTTTCCTGTGTTCCAATATTCTCACTTTATCCTTCATATTATAATTGTTCCGATAGTCAAGCAACCGAAGCCTAATGCTTTCTCAGTGAATGATGGCGTCTGGCCTTTCTCTCAAAGCTTAATTATTTCTACTTTTGTTTCCACCGTAATCACTTTTCTCTTTGCTGCAGGCTCACCTGGACTTGCAGTGGACTTTTGCTTTGGAGGCATGGTCATAAAGGAAAACACAGACTCACAAAATCAAAATAAAAAGTTAAGATGAAAGTGATGCTGTGCATAAGCAACCACATGAACGCTGAGACCAGCCGCTGGTGTAAAGATGCATCAATGAACCTCTTGTGCCATGTGGGTTTGTTTACATGCACAGAAGAAACTAGTTCCCAAATGATTGATATTAATTTTTTAATTATAAATTATCCTTACGGGGGGCCTTGGGAGCCCATTTGGAGTATGGAACACCATAAGACAGGTCGTCTATAACCCGGGGACTGCCTGCATGTTCCTTTCTCATAATATTAAATTGTTTCATATACTTATCTATTGCATGAGAAAGAACCTCTAAAAACACTGAATCTTACTGTTAAAAGAGTCAGCAGTTTTTTCCTATTTCTGACTTTTAAGGAAAGAGCTTCAGAAATTTGCCATTTAGTATGTTTGCTGTAAAATTTTGGCAAATGTCTTTATTATTCAATAGCTTCCTTCCATTCCTAACTTATTAGAAATTTAAGTAGGAAAGGTTGCTAAGTGAGAAAAGTGCTCAAATGCCTTCAAAGCATTTTTGCTATAATTTTACTGGTTTTTTTCCTTTAATTTGCTGTTGTAAAAAAAATTCGTTTTGCTTTAATTCAGACTTGATCTTCAATACTTGACAATGAACCTGTCCTAAGACTGGAAAATGACCAGATGGCATCCGGGAGCAGAGTAGGGTGATCTGTCAGAACAGAATCTCTGTCCTGATTAATGCTTTGGGCTCTGCACTCTGCTTTTTCTGACATGAAAATTGCCACTCCTTTATTTTTATTTGCATTTGCCCAGTACCTGTGTCTATCCATTTATTTTTCAACATTATTTGGTCACCCTGTTTTAGGAGTGTTTCTTGAAATAGTACACATTTGAACCTGACTTTTTAGTCCATCTGGTAGTCTCTGTCTTCTGAGTTTATTCACACTTAGTGAAGTGGTTAATATACTTAATTTTATTCCTTCCATCTTAAATACTACCTTTTTCCTTCTCACTTTTGCCAAATTAGCCATTTTTCGTCCCTTTTTTCCTGTTTCTGTTTCCTCTCTCATTCCTCCCTGTTCATTTTTCTTCCTGTCAATTTAGAAGGCTTACCATGCTTTAAAGTTCTGCTCATGGTTATATATTCCTCTGAATCGTCTTGAAATATATACATTCTGTCAAAGAACATAATAATTTTATACTACTTGTATTTTATATGTGTGTGTATATACATATACAAAACACACAACCACGCACCAAGAATCTTTACCTCCTCACATCTTCCCCCAAGCCAAACAGGATGGAAGTTTTAGTTCTAGGTTACTAGTAAGTTTCCCTTTCAAAGATGACTCTTCTCTTTCAAGATTCCCTACTTAGCATTTATATTGCAAAGTCCTAGTCACATCGTTATTATCTATTTAATTTTAATAACTCATATATTGCAAGATTCATTGCCCCCATTATTTTTCTCCTTTTTGTCTTTCCCTAGCTTGGGATTTCTGTTCTGAATTAATTCTCATTTGATAGAGTATTTCCTCAAGTGTTTTCCTCAGATAAGTACATGGGCAAAATTCTTTTCAAATGCCTGCACTTCTGAAAATGTTTGTTTTGCCCTGACAAATGAATGATATCTTTCCCGGTTATTAATTTTTGGACTTCAGTCTTTTTTCCCTCAGGGTTCTACAAATGTTGTTCCAGTGTTTTAACTTCTAGTGTTGCTGATAAAAAGTTTGAAGCTAATTGATTCTCTTTCCGTTGCAAATAACTGCTCATGTCATCTATGAGCTATTCTTCTCCTGCAGCTACTATGAGGTTCTCTCTAATTCTCTGTGCATATGTCAAGTGCCTAAAACAGCACCTGTCACAGACGAGTAATCAGTCAATATTTGTTAAACGGAGGAGAGAAACAAAAAAGAAAAACCAGTTTATATTCTGACCACACTTTTGCCTATGTCTTCTCCCTGGCTCAGATCTCCAGATATATCACTCTTGATTGGTGCAGTCTGAATTCGTCTTTATGGTTTGTCCTCTGTTGAGTTCAGGGTCCTGCACACCAATCTCAGAATCATCCTTAGATCCTATCTAGTCTGTCCTTGCCTTCAAGTCTAACATCGTTTTTTACATTCTAATTTCATGAGATTATCATACTCTTTCTTTACTGACTGCCCTTCAATCATAACCCTGCTGCTTGAGCTCTGGACATCTTCGAAGCACCATTACCCACACTCAACTCCTGGCTTAAGACACTTCAGCTCTACCTGCAGGGCCAATGAGATCACAACGTGACAAGATGAAAAGCAGGTTTACTGCAATATAACGAATACATAATTAATGTTTTAGGGTTGTGAAACAAATCTGTTCTGTGCGACCATATAGAATGCCTATAAAATAAATGCTATTTCAAGAACATCAAGTTTTAGTTTGTGAAGCACCACAGTTTCATCAAAAAATTCAACAACACATTGAACTATTCTGTAATGTTTAGACTTTACATTTGCTTTTGATCTAAAAATGCTTTTCTATTTCCCACGATTCAAAGTAGTTTGACTTTCTAAAGCATTACTGCTCCTAAATTTTATGACACTGAATAAAGAATAAGATAAATACCTTTGTTATGTAGAAGATACAACAAGCTATCATGTGCTGTATACTTTCAAAACCTGCGGTATTTTTCTTCCAGTAGATGGTATTTGGTAGTCCTTGCAAAACCACTATGCACTTTATCAAGATCTAAAAATTAGAAAATGATTTTAGTTTTAAAATCTCATCCTTACTAATTATAAAATGCTCTAATCAAATCAAGTGAGTTTTAAGACATAAAATTTTACTGTTATAACTAATTATTGATAAATTTTTTATTAGCTAGAAAGGAATGTACACTGAGATAAAATTGATATGTTCAATCCTGAGACGAGCCCTTCATCTAAAGTAACTTGAAAACTAGCAAAAAGAATAAAATACACACATAACTATTAAAAAAAACATACTTTGACAAGTGTCATAAAAGATATAGGCAGCATGTTACATGCATACAAAAAACTAAAGATCATATCCAGGCATAGGAGGACCTTGAAAAATCATTTGAAGGATTATGTGGTATATTAAATATTATATAGTGATTCCAGGTACTTGAAATAATACCTTCCTTTAAAATTAAGGCCAAATATTCACATCCAGGAAATCAATTAATATTGGTGTTCACTTCATATTCTCCTTGTTTGATATTATATTATTCTGAATTTGATCAAGAGCTCGATGATTAAGTTTAGCTTTCAATACTGTTGCACGGTTCTGGGCAACATCATTGTCAGAAAAGTACAGCTGAGATTGCAGCAATCTATTCATCATTGAGAGTATCCCCAAGGAAAAATTAATATACAAATATTGGTTCTTTGGGGGCACATTAAGTGCTTCAAGCTCCCATTCTAACAACACTGCTAGTATTGTTACCAGACACTTATTTTTAATACTTTTTTAACTCCTTCCCCTCCATGATCACCATCTCCCACCCTCCCACACCATATCCCCAATCATGTTAACACCCTAGTAGTTTTGTAGTTTTCTTGAGGCTCATATAATCATATATGTATGTGTGTATAAATCCATAAACATACATAGAAGGAAGGTTGTTGTCATTTTACAAAATGGGATTTATACATACTTTTTTGAACTATACATTTCTCCTTCAACCATGCCTTGTGAGAGATCCCCCAAGTCTACAAGTACAGTTCTAATTCATTATTTCTAATGGCTGCATAATATCATTTGGTATGGATCAACCATAATCTACTCAGCCACTTCCAGGACCTCATGTTGCACACTTTCACGGTTAATGTTGCGCAGTCTGGCAGTGCTGATACTTCTCTTTGTCTGCAGCTTTTTTGCCACTGCCAAGAATGCCACAGTAAACACCCTTATACGTGCTCAGTTGCCAATTCTGAGTAGCAATCAAGGCACCAGCTTCAAGCTGATACCCACTGAGGATGAGACATCACCCTCCAGGACACAATATACACCCTATATCCATGCCTAGTATGGGATACTGTGTCCCAGTAGGTAGAACACATGGGTCCAGGAACCAAGGGGTGGAGCTGGGAGTAGATTTTGCCAACCTGTGATTTTACTCCATAGGATAAAATACTAACAGAGGTATGTCTGTGTCAGATAAATGTATTTCTAATTGTACTAAAATTTTATTCTATAGGATAAATTACTAGCAGAGGGATTACCATATCAGGTATTTGGGGGTTTTCTTGTTTGTTTTTTGGTTTTTTTTTTATTTCAGCATATTACGGGGGTACAAATGTTTAGGCTACATATATTGCCTTTGCCTCGCCCAAGTCAGAGCTTCAAGCATGTCCATCCCCCCAACAGTGCACACCTCACCCATTAGGTGTCTATATACCCATCCCCTCCTCTCCCATCCCACCTGCCCGACACCCAATGAATATTACTACCATATGTGCACATAAATGTTGATCAGTTAATATCAATTTAATTTTTCCATTCTTGGAATACTTCACTTAGTAGAAATGGGCTCCAGTTCTATCCAGGATAATACAGGAGGTGCTAGATCAACATTGTTTTTTGTGGCTGAGTAGAACTCCGTGGTATACACCTACCACATTTTATTAATCCACTCATGTATTGATGGGCACTTGGGTTGTTTCCACATCTTTACAACTGTGAATGATGCATATAGCATATAAACATTCAAGTGCAGATGTCTTTTTTACAGAATGTCTTTTGTTCTTCTGGGTAGATGCCCAGTAATGGGATTGCTGGGTTAAATGGTAGTTCTACTTCTAGCTCTTTGTGGTATCTCCATATTACTTTCCACAGAGGTTGTACTAGTTTGCAGTCCCACCAGCAGTGCAGTAGTATTCCTGTCTCTCCGCATCCATGCCAATGTTTGTTGTTTTGGGACTTTTTGATCAAAACTATTCTCATTGGAGATAAGTGATATCACATTGTGGTTTTGATTTGCATTTCCCTGATGATTAGAGATGTTGAGCATTTTTTCATATGTTTGTTGGCCATTAGTCTGTCTTCTTTTGAAAAGTTTCTGTTCATGT